GATCTTCTCAGGTCCCTTCCGACCCTAGAAGGTATGAAACTATTATTCCAACAGGGGTACAAGTCAACTTAGAGAAAAATATTTAAAAAAAATATACAGCAATGAAAATTGAATATTCACTGGACAGGGTGGGACAGGGTGACTTCATCTTTTAGAAAAGCTTATTTAACTAAAAATTCATTGCATTAATTATAATTTCAATAACTGAGGAATACTGTGCATTCCCAAAACTTATTTTGTGCCATTACAGTTACATAGCAATTTTGAGATCTATATAAATACATTTCCTCTTTCAAAGAGTTTACTGTCACAGTAAGATAATATTTTAATACTAGTTCCTTACAATTCTAGGAAAACTTACAATATTTGACAACTGACTAGATGGTACCTCCTGTAAAACACCTACTTTAAAAATGTTATTCACAACTTAAATTCTTCCTGCATGAAAATTTGGTATATAAACAAATATCTACACAGCCATATTTGTACTTTAACTGTGAAAAATACATTTCCCTAGAGGATTTATACACAGTATTTCCAAGTGTCGAGGCATCCTGAAAAAGACTAGTTTCTCACTAACTCATTCTCTGCTCCACCCAAGACAGAAAACTGCATATAAATCATCCAATCTTCATGATCATTAAATATGGCACCTATAGGTGGCAGAGTTTTTGATCTCTTTAGAAAAATGTTTGTTCTTTAATGGTAAAGCCAAATACATCAGTCAATGAACAGGTTTACTCTAGATTTTAAAAAGCAGTTTCCTAAATTACAACATTTCCATTGTTTTTTAATTTTACAACCATATATAAAGTAGCTGTGCTTACACACAAACACACGAAAGCAACATGCATCATTTTAACCATGGATATTGAGTTATCAGTATGTCTGGGGATTTCTGTACAATAGTCATACTTTTATTTTGTGAGACCCTTTTATACAATATAAAACTTCATGCAATGTATTTTAAACTACTGAATTATTCACTGCAATTTACAAATTTAAGTTCAGCCGAAGATAGCATCGTCTTAACAAATGCAACACACACAAAAAGTATCAAAACGGTTTCTTCATTACATTCCGCTTTCAATATTAAACACAACATTTCTTGAAATACTCTTCATTTCTACCAAAAAATGTAGAATCATTGCGGGTAACAAGGATGGGAGTTATTAAATAAAAAAGGGTACTGGATAGCTACATATACTAAGGTCTCAATTTGCAAATCATTAATCACAAGTGGTATTTTACATCAGTTGCTCATGTAAGTAAGAGCTATTTACATGATTAACCATTTGCAGGAACTGGTTTTAAATACAATTAGGGAAGAACTAAAAATGCAGCAAACAACTGTGGCAATTCTAGCATCAAGGGAACTATGGTTATTGATACCAACAGCAATCCTTTTTAATACTAAAAACCTAATTTTTCATGTGGTTGTACAATTAACATCACAGCACTGTCCCAGAAGAGACATAAGAACAATATTCCTTAACCAGAGACAACAGAATGCTGAGGAGTATTTCATTAAAGCAAAAAAAGTGAGATGTTAATAAATATTACATAAAAGCCTTCTATTTTTTAAAATTGCTTTTAATTTTTAAAAGTATTTACATTCTTAGGAAAAGGCATGTAACTGGTTGCAGTCTCCTTACATCACCACTTCGAATTTTCTGAATGAAAATTTTTAAGAGTTACTGCACAACAGAAGGGAAGGTGGACAAAACCTTTTAACATAGTTTGAACTTTCCCCTAAATGTCACATTACTACAGTGATCATGCATGCAAAATTGTGAAGCAGAAACATGATGATCTAAAATTTTGTAGAGGAAAATTGTTGGAATGGAAATGTTTTGTACCCTGAATAATAATGGGCAAAAACAGAACTTATCCATTTTACTTGAATCCAATATTATAATATACACACAATTCCCATTGGGTGGATATCTTGAAATTTGGAATCTTCCATTAGATGGCATAATGAGGGGAAAGAAAGAGGGATTTAAATTTATGCCTTGATCTTTTTCCTTTCCAACAGGAAATACCAAAACAGTCATGAGATTTCAATTATTTAAGTGCCTTTTATACATATACACATGCTGCCCATTAATCCCTTGTGCAGATCTCTCAGCAGCTTCATACAGCCACCATTTCAAAACAGTCCATTTTTAAATAGCTCATGACAGCTGTTCTATTTCTAGGATGGCACTGAGACAATTTACAGCATGAGAGTGACTATATATCCAGTGAAGACAGGAAAATTAAAGTTCCTGACATACCCAGAATCTCTGCTATTAAACAATGAAATGTCAAGAGCAGGGGCTAGCCTGCAAAAAAGCTGGATCTAGCCGAGGAAGGTCTGACCTAGCTCAGGGAGAAGAGACTGGGTGGCGTGCAACTGCACTGTTCCTTCTGTTCCCTCCACAGCACCCTCCACAGCCCTCCCTGCTGCTTTCTCATGCCTGTGCTTACTCTTCTGCAGAGGAACCTGGTCACAATCTCTGGCCCACAGCAGCAAAACATTGCCAACTCCTATTTATGGACACTTTATAATAAACTGAGCAGAAATCCATACTTTTAATCTTTTGATGCATTGACAAATATTAAAGAAGCTCATTTAAAATAAGCTCGTTAAAGTAAGACCTGAAGAATGGACTGACTGCATTCAAAAGCTTGTCTAAGTCCACCCCAACCATGCAGTTAGTTCAATAAAAGATCACTCACAAAAACCCTTGCAAAATAAGCCAGGCAATTTTTCATAAGTCTAAATACAATGATGCTTTTTTGTTACCTCTCAAGCCGACGTACAAGTTGTGATACCATCGTATCTGAGATCCCTGGACAAGCTTCCTCAGCTAAATAAATAGCTTCTCTCAGTTCTTCTATGGATCCCATGTTGCCACCACATGCCTGACTTTTCTCTTTCAACTAAAATGGCAAAATACATTCATTAGTAAGAAAAATACTTGTATATATAATAATGCAAATATTTGTTACAGTTACAGATCTGGTAAACAACCATTATGCAACAGGAGTAAAATAATCTCTAGACTTCACCATCAGCATTCTTTTCAGCTATTTAAATTAAAAAAAACCTATCAATGAATGTGTTGCGAATAGTTTAAATAGCAGCAATGCCACATTTGCAAAAGTCATGACACATCCATTTAACAGCAAAATGGGATCTGATCCCTACATCTGCACCTCCTGCACTGCCACAAGTGTATGGTAGGACACATGATTTGGGGTTTTGGAGATCAATGCCCACACCATTACTCCTTACCAGTGCAGGGGGAGCCTGTGATTTTGATTTGCACTGGGAAATTGAAAGCTGGGTATCTGCAGCTGGCATGAACGGTACAGTCCCAGAGCTGGGGCCAACAATCAGCTGACTGTCAGTCCCAACATGGAACAGCACTAGAGCCAGTCTGAGATTCTGGCGCAGTCCCAGGGCTGGAACTATCAGCCACACAAGAACTGGGTGCCATTGTCCAGAATCTGGTTGTACATCTGACCCAGATCCCCAGTGCTTGGGAATCAAGCCTTCATTAAGCCTTCACATTGCCTCCAGGCTGCTGTTCCCCATGTTGGGCACCTGTTTTACAGACTGCTTGCTCCGGTGAGAGTCCCCGATGCAGTTCCCACTACCCCAATGCCAAGACCAGCCAAGCTACACTGCTCTGCTCTCTCATAGCCAACACAACTTATGCCTACCCCCCACCCCACTAACAGACCTACACTCTAACCTCTGGCCCTTACACCCGTAACTCAGGCAGGAACTGCCTCTGGGAGCTGTCTTCAAGGGCATGGCCTCACCCCTACCACATGTCCTGTCTCTCACTGGCGGCTGTCAATGCCCCTCAAACTGTTCTTGGGTTGGAGTCCAGGAACAGCTTCAACAAAAGTAGATACGCACCAATACATCGGTCCGACATCGGATCGGCACCGATATAAAGAAAACTGATTGCATCAAAAAAACTGACCTGACATGGCCAATAATTTAGCTGATAAATGCCCATGCATGTGCACAGCCACAGTGCAAAAGGTAGGCAGCACAGAGCGCAGCCCGGCAGCTTGGAGACCTACGCCCCACTGGTAATTCTGGTGTGGTGGATGGGGAGGGAAGGAGCATGGGGGGCAGATCAACGTGCTGGGTGCTGCCCAGCCGGGGCGCAGGACAGAGCCATGGCTTGGCTGGTTTAGAAGGGGAGGGGGAGCTGCCGCTGCAGCTATTACATCTACATGAGTCTGTAATTATATAGGTTAGCAAATAGCTAAATTATCCTAACTTTGTCCTGGAATGAAACAGGGTTAAAGTTGCAGCAGTTTTCCTGTCCTTATATCACTATAGAAGGATGCACCGATAGTGATACCTTTAAGTCTGTGTATATCCTTAGCTGAGCAAAAATGAAATCCCATATAATTAAGATTCTTTAGGCCCTAAGTTTCCCAAACCATGAAAGTTCATGGAGATTGTTCAGGTTTCGCTTCATTTTTAAAGACATACTATAACAAGGTCAGGATCCCAGGGGTAACTGTG